CCACCCTACATGGCTCAAACCAACAGTCAGAGACTTCATGCATTGGTGCCATATTTTAGTCTAGCCACCTAGGGCCCTTTTTCAGTCTGAATCTACTTCAGCCAACATTGTGTGACGAGGCGATCGGTGACTAGGCATACGTAGTACGTGTCCCAACCATCTTCTATCCAATGAAATATAAGACAGGCTTAGTTAGATGCTTATTCAATAGAATACAACGTATTTGTACACCTGATAAAATGGATGATGAGAGCCGATTTTTGACAGACATATTAATGGAATACGGAATTCATTACAGTTTGTGAACTGTTGTAGAAGCCAGCTAACACTGAAGCCTATAACTTCCTCGATCCCGTAGAACGATATATTTCTTAAAATACCCTACAAAGAGGAAACCAGCTTATTATTGTTGTTGGAACAACAAAACACCTGCTTTGCCTGTTACAACAAACTGCTTGGGTAAACATTACATAGGGAGGAGTAATCGTGAAATGCAGACTAAGGTGGGTGAACAACATATACCTATATGACTTGAAAAACAGTTTAACACACAAATATTGATAAGCGCAAGTGACAGACATCCATCGCCATCCATAGCAGAACATATCACTGAAATGAATCACAAGATTAGTATGAAAACAAGGGCATATACTGAAATTTTCCGAAGTGTTAGCCATTCGTAAACTTCAGCTCCCTTCCCTGTGTGTCCAGAAACAATTTGTTGTTTCACTTAATTTACCTTGCTAATCCTTTATAATCTGATTATATTATCAAGACTAATGTCACTACCTTTTCATATTCGTACTGGGTGATGATTGAAGGTGAGATGAATATCTGGACCGCGGCCGGACTCGAATCAGCCACCACCGAGTTACCGGTCCGGTGCTCTACCAACTGAGCTGTCTACGAGGTTCGACTGATGACCAGAAGTTTATTTCACTTCACTCTATATTCATTAGATTAAACCTTTCATTTTCATACATATTTATAAGTTGACGACTTGAGACAAGTAAATGTGTAAGGGATAAGATTGTTCGAAATGTGTATTGCGCAAATACATCACACATACACACACATTGTTCAGATAACGTTCATCTCCTAATACCGTCATCATAACAGCTGTTTTTATGCTGGGTTGATGATTGAATAAGAGATGAAAATCCCACCGCGGTCCAAATTTTCATCTCACCTTCAATCATCACCCAGTATACTAGTCTGCCAATCTGCAGCTATTTCACATACTCAAATGACGATGACCGTTTTATTTATTTCAAGGCAATAGTCATTACGAACTGACACCAGTTGGTGAAGCATTGAAAACCTGAAGGTATGGAATACCTGTTTCGTTCTGTCATGTGACTCTTCAACAATACGCACTAACAGTACCTCGTAGTCGCAGATCGAACCGCCCTCACACAAATAAAATGATTTTATTATTACGATTCCTTACCATTAGCTGTCAGAACTCTACAATGTGATCTCTAATTATCATTTCCACAAATAAGATGCTTCAAATGCTTTTGATTGTTTGCGACTGAGGAGGAGCTGCAAAACACAAATATGTGCTCAGTTTAATGTGTTCTTCCCGGTTTAGAGAGAAAAATCATCAAGGGACCATCTTAGAAAAGCCGTTTAGGCCTACCTATCTATCTCACCAGCTAACAACGGAATCGCTATACACAATCGAATCGGTCTACGTCTGCTGACAGATGTGTACCTCTTTGGATTCCTCCATGCTGCCGCACAGTTATGATGTTTTACTCATAGTGATGAAAGTGCATTTTGTCTATTTTAGGACTCTTCAACTGGAGGTACCAGCACTTGAGTGACTGATGTTGTTCCCACTAAGACTCACTTCAAATACCGAAACGGTATTCCCTAGGGCTCGAGTCTCGGTGGGGACAATACCATTAATCGCTGGACGGGTGGTAAATCCAGCTGACGAATCCCAAACAAGACGTAATGCCCGTATTGTATTCCACTACGAATCACCAACATGAATGCCACCGCGTAATTGTATCGTTGTTTGCCAGGCTCGCCGACTCTCATGGATCGGTGATAACACTACTATTACTACTGATACTGGACAATTTGAGTAGTTAGAAGCTACTCACTCAGTCGAATGTATAGACTACAGGATACAAACCTCAGTAGTAAACATGATTGTCGTTTCAGACATGTTTGTGAATAGTTGGGAACAGATGGCCCTTCAAACATTTGCTTCTACTCCAAATAAATTGTTCCGATATGTAGATGATACGTTTACAATACTGAAATCCGAACACATCAATAAGTTCTTGACATATATAAGTTCGGTGCTGAATTCATTCCAGTTTACCTGTGACTTATAAAGTGATGAAGGTGAGCTAGTGATGTTCGATTGTAAGATTAAATGAACATAACACAGAAGTCTAGAGGCTAGTGTCTATAGGAAACCTTCTCATTCGAATCACTACTCAGACTTCAAATCTTCCCATTCCATTTCAGTTAAAATGGGCCTAGTTAAATGCCAAAGTGATAGGGTGGGAAAGTTAACTAGTTGCCAGAAAGTCTGTGACAAGAAATTAGACACATCAAGAATACCTTGTGTCTCAATAATTACCCATTTCAATCTACAAACGAAGCCATGAGCAAGAGAAAGAAAAACATTACCAGTAGTAGCAGTAGTAGTAGTCGCAGTCGTAGTAGTAGTATCAGTAGTATTAGTATTAGTATTAGTAGTAGTAGTGTGAGTAGTAGAAGTAGTAGTAGTAGTAGTAGTAGTAGTAGTAGTAGTAGTAGTAGTAGTAGTAGTAGTAGTAGTAGTAGTAGTAGTAGTAGTAGTAGTAGTAGTAGTAGTGGTATTAGTACAGTAGCAGAAGTAGTGTGAGTAGTAGTAGTAGTGTGAGTAGTAGTAGTGTGAGTAGTAGTAGTGTGAGTAGTAGTAGTAGTAGTAGTAGTAGTAGTAGTAGTAGTAGTAGTAGTAGTAGTAGTAGTAGTAGTAGTAGTAGTAGTGGTAGTAGTAGTAGTAGGATCAACTGAATAACAGAGCACAAAATCTTAGCTAGGTCAAGATTACTTGGGAGCACTGGACAGCTGTTTCGTCCGACTAGCATGGGAGTCCTCAGCAGAGCGCATCCACAACCCCACACCCACACCCCGACAGAGACAGAACCCGCGACATTCAACTTCATTGGCCAACACCTTACCACTCGGCCACTGGGTCAAAATCCGGTGAGCCAGTGACCCAATGGCTAGCTCAGTGGTAACGTGTTGGCCATGGAACTTGAAGGTCACGGGTTCGGTCCCTGGAGTGTGTGGTCGTGGGTGCACACCACTGAGGAGTTCCATACTAGTCGGACAGAATGGCAGCTGTCCAGTGCTCCCACATTCGCATTATCCCTCCAATTGATGTCAGTCGACGATGAATAACAACTTGAAATATTTACAAATCTCCACAACTCCCTCAAAAATCAAGTCGAGTAGATCCTAACAAGATGATGAATTATTTAGAGTAAATCTCGGTCATAGCTCTCCATCCAATTATACACATTGATACAGTAAGGTGGGATAGAGTGACAGCTTTGAAAACTAATTTAGTTGGTTGGTTGGAGGGAGGGAGGGATGGATGGATGGAGGGAAAAATTGATGACCAACTGAATCTTTGTTTATCGAATCAACACTGAATACATCGAACAACAGATATGATTGCTCACCCGTCCCAGATATATGGGACACCCTACTTACTGCCTTTGTCATTTCACAAAGGAGGAGAGGAAATTAAGACTGCATAAACGATGTGTGGAAGTTGTGTAGTCAGTTACCTGATATGAATGTGGACAGTAGTAGATAGTGTGTGCAAATTATGGTTATGCAGTCGACGATCCTGTTCCTTCCCTGTATGTCACATTTCTAATAAACAGAGTAAAATGGAAACTTAGTTGGTTGTGGCTAGCAGAGAAATCTAAGTTGACTCGCGTTTCGTTTTATTCAGGGCTCGTCAGCTGCGTATGCAAATAGAAGTTGAATAATTCCATCCAATGAAATAATAGAGAATTATAAGTTTGCCAACAAATAGTAATAACTGATAGTCGTTGTAGAAGAAGCGGCTATCGTACCTCCACCTGACATAATGGACAACGCCTTGGAACTGATGAGTTCAACATTAAACGAAACGCACATCAATCTGGATCTATCTGCTAACCAGAATTAACTAAATTACCTTGATTAACACTCAGGCAATATCCAGGCAACTACATAGGAACCCATATGTCAATAAAGGTCGAACAATATGAATTCAATAAAACAACGGAGAATTACAAGTGTAGCAATAAGTAGGAATATTTCAAGTTGTTATTCATCGTAGACTGACATCAGTTGGAGGAACAAAGGAAACCTGGGAGTACTGGACAGCTAGCTGTTTCGTCCTAGTATGGGACTCCTCAGCAGTGCGCACACACGACCCACTAGGGATCGAACCCGCGACCTTCAGGTTCCGCGACCAGCGCGTTACCATTGAGCCACTGGGTCAGCGGAGTCCAATGCTCCATACTTGCAACTTCTGTCAGCTTACGATATAGCGCAACCGCCAGCCAATATCATCGTTGAGTAAGTGTCCTCACGACCATCAGGCTTTGCCCCCAAAGGTCACAACTTGTCATTGGAAATTCGGGAATACCTCTCAAAGCTAGTCATCAAAGAGCACCAGTTCAATTGAATTTTAAGGAAGTTGTGGAGATTTAGAAATACTTTCAAATTATTACTCACTGTAGACTGATATCAGTTTTTGAGGAACAACAGAAACCTGTGAACACTGGATAGATGCCGTTTTGTCCTAATATGGGAGTCATCAACAGTGTACACCTACGACCCTGCCTATCAGGAATTGAACTCTTCACCGAATATCATCATTGAGTAACTGTCCTCACGATTAAATCGGCACAACTCCCTTAAAATTTAAATAGTAATCTGAGAAAAAAAATAGTATACTCATTCTTGTATAAATTATGATTATTACTCACCTTTATGCATTCCAGTTATCTTATCTCTTAGTATAGATAAATCATAAATTGGTCCAAATTCTTGAAAAATTAATCGTAAATCATTTTCTTGCATATTTCTTGGTATTTGTCCAACAAATAATTTAGTATATTTCATATTCCATTTTGTATTATTATTATTATTATTATTATTATTATTATTATTATTATTATCTTTTTCCATTATAGTAATTATTTCATGTTCACATAATGATGATGTATGCAAATGATTCATTTCATCTTGTTTATCATCATTGACAAGGTCACATGTAGTCATAGTGATAGATGTAGGTGTGGAAGTAGCACTGATAAGAGGATTAACACAAGAAGAAGTAGAATAAATAGTATCCATTATATGATCATTATTTGTTATAGGAAATGAATGATTAGAATCCATTTCATGTTCATCCATTAGAATTGAACTTCCACAAGATGATAAAATAGAATCATCACAAGTATCTATTAATAGATGTGATCCATTGATATTAATATTATTATTATTATTATGATTAGTATTAATATCTTTGGTCAATTTTGTTCTATCTGTATAATCCGATGTAATTGTCATCATAGATTGACTTGATACATGATGTAATGAGTCCTTAATAGTATTATTATTATTATCATTATTATTATTACTACCAATACTACTTAGTAATGTTGTCATCATCATTCAGGTTATGTAATAAATGTTCAACTAACTAATCTCATCAGATTTGTTTAAATTAAAAGTTGTTGATGAGAAAGCGGTAAACTGTCATAATGCCATTATTTTATCATCATTGTTATGATGAATAAACATAGTAATAATTAAGAAAGAAATCGGTTAATTGGTCAGTCATATTCATGTTAACATTGAACACAATGAGATAGAGATAGGATAGAATCTTGTAGTATAACTGGACAGTGGATTGGATTAGCCTTGTTCACTGGCTTACTCACTCACTCACTCACTCGTACGTATATTCATCCGATAAGCTCATTTATGGCATACCACCTCGTTCAATCTATATATATATAGATAGATATTTAAACATATTTAAATTTACACATACACACGCACTTGCTTATAAATAGTAAATATTGATTGTGTACAGACATACACACTCATGTAATATACATACATACATACATGTGTGCATACATTTGAAAATCTTAATTTTAATTGGTCAGTATGGTAGGTGTCTGTGTGTGTGGGTGTGTACGTGTGTGTAAATCTTCAACATTTAACTTATCGTATCATACAAATGGCTATAATTATTCAGTCAATGTTCATAGAAGGGTGAATAATGGTGATGATAGCTAACTGTGATTATTAAATATATTCCATAAAGACCATGTAATGAACATAGAAAGGAGAGAGGTAGACAACGGTTCCATGTATGGAATATTCGATATGAGCAAAATAGATCAGATAGATCACAGATATATATATATATATATATATATATATATATATATATATATATATATATATATATATATATATAATACATGTACACACACACACAACACATAGATGCTAATATTAACCTACCTGTGTGTGTATACACCATTACTGTCAACATTCATCCACCATCTTACAAACACAGATTTCGGTATCAAGAAAAGCAGGATAATAAGTACAAGAATATATTTCTATTATAGTAATTTCAAGTTGTTATTCATCGAAGACTGACATCAGTTGGAGGATCGAAGGAAACCTGGGGGCACTGGACAGCTGTTTCATCCTAGTATGGACTCCTCAGCACTGCGCACCCACGACCCCACCAGCAGGGATCGAACCCGCGACCTTCAGGTTCCGCGACCAGCGCGTTACCATTGAGCCACTGGGTCACAATCCAATGCTCCATATTTCCAACTTCTGTTAGCTCACGATATAGCGCGAACCGCCACCCAATGTCATCGTTGAGTATCTGTCCTCACGGCCATCAGGCTTTGACTCCACCGGTCACGACTTGTCATTGAAACTTCGGGAATACTTCTCGAAGCTAGTCACCAATGAGCATCACTTCAATTAAATTTTTTGAAGGGGTTGTGGAGATTTGGAAATATTTGGTTGATTATGGCTATTTACGAGTCACTAGTTAACTGGATGTATCTACTGTGGAGTGATATCATTCTTAGTGAGATATCAATTCAAAACATGAAGGCGTTTATCAACTATGCCATAGAGGAAAGATTTCTGTATGGTATATTGGATAACGCCTTAACGTTTGAAGTGATGGCCATGAGGTTCAAGTCTTAGTAGATTCTTCTCCTAGACACAATCAAACAAATTACCACAAAATTGACACTTAGGCAATATTGAACTCCATATTTCAACATTAGTCAAACAATTCGATCCAATATAACAACGGAGAATTACAAGGATATCAATATATCCCAGGTGCAAGTGTAAAATACCGTCCAATTGCAGTTACTGCTTCGTTCTTAAAAATAATGGAGAAGGTAATAATACTTACGCTCCAGGCCTCACTAGAGGCTTTCTGAAACCCTTATCAATTTGTATATAAAAGCAGGAGAAGCACTTTAGATGCCACCACTCTCTTATATCACGATATTGCTAATTTTATATCATTAAATGTCCCTTGGGTTCCTGATTGAACATAGGGCTTCAGTAGCACGTCGCCATTCTACTCTGTTCTCTGAAAACTTTTGAACTTGGCTCCACAACTGCCCACAACCTCTCATTTCCTCCTTAAACGATCTCTTTCACATCATCCTTGCCTCGGACGCCTAACTCGTCGCTTCCCATATGGGTTCCACTTGAGCAACTGGCCTGACGCGTGATGTCCCCAGTCGGCCTTCTCAGTGTATGCCCAATCCATCTCCACTTCCTTCCAGTGCATATTTGTTGAGTGATAGGTTATTGCTTCGTTGGTTCGTTGCCAGCCAGCCAGAGTTGCTTGTTGCTTATACTTTCTCGACATCCATCTGATCTTCAGTATAGAGTGGGCGTAGGTGGCAGCTGTTGATGAATATCTGTAGTTTGTTCGATATGCCTCTCGTAACGCGCCAAGTTTCTGAACCATCTGGAAGCACTGATTTGACGTTGTTGTTGAACTTCCGTATGCTGTTCATGCTTCATGCTGAGTGCAGTGCAGAAGATTTCCACCCTGGTTTCAGGTTAATGAAGGAATGCCTGCCTTGCTGTGTTTCCGATCCTGGCTGGCTTTGACGTCCTCCTCTGTGCTGCCGCCGCCTGTAGTTGAAACGATGCTGCCCCCTAGGTGGGTGAGTGAAAGAAACTACTTCCTTTGGCTTCCTCCCGCTGATGGTGATTGGTGCTTGTTGTTGTTGTAGGTTGGGTATCTTCATCATCTCTGTCTTCTCTACATTCACTTGAAGTCTCGTCTTCGCTGCCCTGCCTCTTCTGTCAACTCGTTATTTTTTGCCTGTACATCTGCAAAGCGAGTGAGTAATCCATGAGGTAAATAAATTGAAATGTGATGAATAATTTTAACAACATTCTAGTATCCATTCCTTGTCCCATGTCAACTAAGTGTACAAGTATAGAGCTCTTCACTGTTCTAATTTATCCCTTCCTCAACCATATACCCACCTGACAAGTCCGAAATAGGACGAAATATCCGTCATGTATTCCTCTGCTAGCCATCTTCAAGCAAGATACACCACAATGAAGATTAAGACAATATCAAGCATCCGTATAGGAGCTGGTCTGCCAGCAGAGGTCAATCAATGCGCTCCTGCAAACTGACTTACTTTTACTAAAGTGTCAAACTCTTGTATGAATGTGTCAAACAGTTAGAGATAGTCGGCAGAAAGTTATGGACTATGATTTTGCACTTGCTGGCACTCATCAGTTAGGTGTATTTACAATTTCGAGAGGAATGATGACTACCCAGAGATTCGTGCCTACATCATCCTACTGACTGACTCTATCCAACTCACTGTCATCAAAGTGTACCATGAAATGACTCTTCTAGCCCCATGATAACATTTCGAATTGATAGACAAAATTCCATCAACACTAAGAACTAGCCAACAAGAAGTTGGTTGCTCTTCACAATAGCGAATTTGCTTAAATAGCTAAAATTCGAACAATATTTAACTCTCCGTAGAAAAAACGAGTATGGGAACAAAAGTTGGCGACTTCGTTTCAGCAGTGGGAAGAATGTGGGATTCAAAAACTCCAAATGCCTTCAGTTAGCTAATGACATCAGGTAGCATATTCTGCATCATAGAGTATTTGATTTTAGACTTCGCAGTGACGGCAAGCTATCACTTCAGACGATGGTTTCAAAGACGTTTTTCGTTTTTGCCCACTATTCATTCATGGATCAGTACCATTTGAAGAAATTTAAGGAGGTACAAAAGTGATTGAAGCTTGAGTCTCAGTGGGAAAAGCATCGCTGGCTGCGGGCCAGTTACATCCAGCTGACGAGTCCCAAATAGGACGAAATACATCCAATTCCCACCCAGTGACTCAGTGGTAATATGCTCGTCGTGGAACCTGAAAGTTATGAGTACGCACAATTGAAACATAACTGTCAAGTGCTACCAGGTTTCCAATGGTCCTCTAACTGACTATGAGCAGCTATTTCATTCTAGTACTCGACCCTGACAGTGATAGAACACAAGACGTTTAGGTTTCTCGAAAAACCCATTACCATTCAATGCTCCACATTTTTCTACTCCTGTCAATCAAGAATAGTTATCCTTGAAGATTGATTGAGAGGAATATAAAGCCCATATGGTTCCAAAGAAGACACTGTTTATGGGTATTGGCAGGCATACTGGAGAATCGATTGTACAAAGCACTGAAGAAGAACTTCTTTTTCGTCCAGCTTCGGATTGTTTCCTTCAGTCAACAACTGATTCCAGGGTGTATAAACAATAAACTGTCAGTTTATACCATCTTCAGGTGAGTTTATCAATTCACCTGTTCTTTTGGAGCTGATGACATAGATCGTACAAAACTTGTTCTATCCAAAAGCATCTCCGAACGTTATTTTGCATGGATGTTTTCTGTAAAGGGAAGGTAAACATTTTGAAGCAAGTGCATATTCGCCACCTCAACATAACAGAAGCTCTGTCAATTCAGCACAACAAGCCTGCTGTTTGTCTTCAAAAAGCAATTGTTGATGACCTTGGTTTGACCTCGTAGGGGTTACCATTTCGTGACTTTATTGACCGTTTTCTGATGACCTTGAATAAAATCAATAGAGATTACGCCTTAATTGAATGCATGTCTAGTTATATTGGGTGATAACTGAAGGTGAAATGAAACTGGGAGGGATTCGAACCAGTGACATGTGAGTTATCGTCCTGGTGTTCAGCTTAGTAACTTATCACTCTTTCGGTCTTGGTAAACCTTCATCTCATCCCTATATCAGATATTACATAATTCGATACTGAGACACGTGTCCTAGATTCCATCGCTAGCTACCAAGTGAATTATTGCGTTATTCTCTCTTTTGCTTACCATTTGAACATAATATTTATGTACGAAGGTACGTTTTGAGAACGATATCGTTGACATGAATGACATCATAGTTAGGCGGAAGTTGAAAGATAACTTAACTGTGTAAAAAATACCAACATGGAAGGTGGAATCTTTAAATAATTTTGCTAACTGTTCATCCTATTCCAGGTATATCAGTCCATACAAGTCAACTGGCCAGTCAGATTCAGGGGATCTGA